TAAAACAGGCCTTCAGATGAAGAGTAATAGGCGCACGGTGGCGCGCAGGTGAGACGCGTCAAAATGATTCCAATTTCTTTTTGTTGTGCTCTCTTCAGAGTATCAGACTTTCTTGGGGTTTTAGTTTGCTCTTGCTCCTGGTATATCTTTCAAGAAATCCAGCTTCTTGACTCCTGGTTTATCTTTCAGAAATCCAGCTGAATTTGGGTGCGGGATTCCTAGCTAAGAGTTGTAAGATGACTATGAAAACGAAAAATCCCTCAATGCAGGATTTTTGCCGTATGACGGGTACCTTGTCCTACTGAAACGCCTAAAGTAATGCACTCAATTGGTTTCTTGTCCATGACAAACGTCGTATCTTAAGAGCGTTCAGGTGGGTTTTGGAAGCAATTTTTTCAAGTTGGCCGTACTAAAGTCGTACGGAGAACAACGAGTTTCTGCACGTGATATTTGTCTTGGCATTAACTGTGAGCTTCAATCCCATTCTTTCGCACCTTAGATGGTTCCTAACTTATTGATGCCTTTAGCCGTTACCTATAAAGCTTCTTTGTTACGTTCAACTGCCGCTAGATGTAGCGTGCCAGTGCCCCTTGTCGATTCGATTCAAGGATTAGCAGCAGTTACGTAGTTGTTTCACTAATTTTGAAAACTTCATGATAGTTGGTTTCATTTGACAAAAGTCGTTGCACTCTATCTCACCGGTCCAGAAAGAAAGATGAAAGTGTAAAGATTCAGAAGGAAGTGGGTTTGATCGCGCGCCTCGCGGTTACCATAATTTTGGCCCACCCTGTACACCACTTCCGCCTATTGCTATTGGCTCATTTCAAGTATTTGTTTAGGGCGGAAGTGGTGTAGTGGCAAGTGGCACGCTTACCACGCGAGCGGTCCGGGATCAAATCCTGGGTCGTGAGTCGCCCGGGCCAACCAAGCCTTCCATCCCTCCGGGGTCGGTTAATTGGTACCAGACTTGTCTGGGAGGATAAAAACACTGACTTGTACATCGGCTGGCCCCGCAAGTCATTGTATAGGCCACATCGCATTCAAACGCCACTACGAATGTACAAGTAGAATGCGTGCCGCATCCCAAAAGGGATTGATCAACGGCAAATGCTTTATCCTTTTTATCCTTTTTAACTTCGTCGTATGTACGCAACATTTTAGCTCTCAAGTTGCACTTGCGGGATTCACTTAAGATTTTCCCACCCTGCTGAGTTGAAGCTCCTGTTTGAGGATGGACGGATCAGGTGCGTGTAGCATCAGGGCTGCTCGTTTTTTTATGTAGTTAGACTGATTGAACTTATCTCTCATGGTAATCAAATAAGAAAGTTTCTGTTTATGCGGTCGCAAAATGAGCCACGATTCCGCAAGTGGACACGCGTGCCTCTCGGTCATACGGTTTTCATCGAGCCTTTATTCTGCTGCAGCTCATTCCATTCGTAATAACTTATAGTGCAGTTTTGCTGTGTCAGGTTCTGCCCTGCATATCCCTCGCGAGCGGTTGGGATGCAATTCAGATTCAAGGCCAAGAGCTCCTACCTGAGACCAACGGAGGAGTCCAGGATGAGCTGAACTTGGCAGCTTGTATCGTTTTTTGCCGATGCTCCTGAGCCCGATCAGCACCAGTGACTGGATCAGACACAGCGCAGACCTTGCCTACTGCCTTCCTTGTTGACTCACCTTTTAGATGTGAGTGAGTTAGTAGATCTGTGCCCTACGAGGATGTCAGGTGGGGACTTTTAACTTCTAACAATAAAAAGATTTTGAACTTACTAACGCTCTCGCATGTGCGGGTCCTAAGCGCTCAACTGTGGCTTCAACTTACGGCATCTTGAATGAACGTTCGTCGAAAGTTTAGACCACTGAATAAAGAGTCTCCACCTGACAACCTTGTAAGGCACAGAGCTACTAACGCACTCACAACTGAAATGCCGAGGTTGCAAGAAGAGGGAAGCTGGAGAATTCTATTTTTTCAGAGTTCATAAAGTTTAAGCGTTCGTTTTAGTCAGGGTCTATTTCAATTCCTGTTTAATTCCTGGTCAATCCTTCGTAACTGAGGCAACGCCTTATCTCGATACTGATTAACCTGACGCTACTTGCAAGATCGCATTGGCTGATTCTCTGCTCGGAAGCCCTTACATGCTGAACATGTGTCTGTTTAGTTACCTGGGTAGGAAGATCTATCGAGCATTCAGAGAGCCGCTCTGGTATTTAGCCAATAACACTTACCTTAGCGATTCGATTGCGATCCTGAATCGCTTTGGAATCGATTGGATAATTATTGATCAGGATGGCAGCTATAAAAATATTGGTTAGGGTGAATTTTTATATGCATTCAGTCACATGCGCCATGTTGAATCGACCGGCGACAACTATGGCATTTCGGAAAATTGTAATCCTATCAGCTTTATCAGGCTTCTTAACATTGCACTGAAGCCACCACCCTGCCTTTGCTGCGGATTGACAGATCGCGAGGGCTTTCAGAGAATGTAATTCTGGCTCGGGATTGGCGAAGTGACTGGGAGGCTAAACGATGCTGTAATACTCCCCCGCGGCTGTGTGGTTGTATGGCTGCTCGCCTCCTGCCGCCTGCCTCGAGCTCCACCCATTCATCGCAGTCGCCTTTGCTTCTCTAACACAAGATGGTAAGTGTTTGAGAGAATTTTTTCTGACCGCTTCTAGAATCTTCTTTGGGACCCTCCGGGTTTTCTATTCCTCCTTATTGCTGTTTTCATAAATGTTATAATGTCGCTTGACGCTCCTCGAAGCCGTGGACTCAGGGGGTAATAATTGCTTCATTTACCAGATGGAAGCCAACTGTCTTCTTGAATGCCGCTCGAAATCGGGACCAAAAACTAGCTCCAGGCCCCTAGCCCAAGTTTGGATACTGCACCCAATCTTGAAGAATTAATGCCCTATAACTGCGCAATCGCAAGATAGGGGCGCTGCTGAGGTAACGCATCGGAAACGGCGTCTAACATCTTTTTTGTTGTGAATGAGACCAAGACTCAGAGGGGGAAGTGCTATAGAGTGCGTGAGCAAAATTAATTTTGCCCGGGAACCCTGAAACTCCGACTTACTAGTTCTATAGGGATACCCCGTATGTTGCGATTGCTTCCCCAGAACTATTACGCGTCCTTGCTAACCTCAGATGATTGCAAGCAACATGAGAAGATTATTCCAGAATGAAGGAACCGTTCCCCGAAATCGTTCTGGAAGAATCGCCTCACGACAGTTCGCAAGTGTAATACATATGGCTCAGTTCGCCTCGACCGGCGATTCTCGTTGTAATAACGGGTAGGAAGCCTTGTGTCTCAACTAATCATTGCCAAGCCGAGGGAATCAATATCGCACTGATGTGATTGGACAGAGCACTGGCAGTTTGGGTGTTCTTCACTGAGTTTGGGTTTTGTTCGTTGAGTTCGGTAGTAAGGTGGTACTATAATCTTTGAGAACTTCGCGCTCAAGGTCTTCCACAATGAGCGAATACGAAGTTCAACCCTTAGGTGAAGTAAGAATGAAGAGCGTTAATAATTCCTTGCCTGCACAACGCATGACACTTCGAACATCATGGTTGTAGAGACATAATTCTTCGCTAACATTCTTTTTCAATCCATTGATTCCACGCCTTCGAAGATCCTATATATCCTGATGGCCTTGTAAAGGCGACTGTAGCTTCACAGTGGCTTACGTGGGCCATCGAACGTGTAAGTCTGCAACTATTGACTTAGAAGAGCCTGGTACATTGGATACAGAGTAAAAGAATGTTAAATGTCCTGGTAGAATTCTATCCCAAGTTTGACCCGTGGTTCAGTGCGTTGCAGTTGCGCTACCTCAGCTCTGACCCTCGTATTATAAAAAGAATGGCTAATTGTGATTGATCAAGGAGGTCGATTTCATAAGTTCATTGAGTCCATATTTCTTCGGTTTCTGTTAAAAGAGTCCCACCGGGTCCGAAGGAAGATTTTAGTCATCCATAATTTGATAAACACTATCGGTTAAAACAATCTAATGGCTTCTAAATTTAGGCTGAAGATATCGAAGAGATCTTGGCCGAAATTGACGGCGAGCAGATCGAAGGTTCGTTCATGATTCGTGATAATCAAAATCTGGAATTTTTGAGCGGGCTTGGAACCAATCAATAAAATCAATACCTACTTCACGAGCTTTGTGAATATATGGTATAGAATACCACAATGACATAGAATAACCATTTTCAGAATAACCAGAAATTCTTCGACTGACTTCGACCGCGGAAAGCAGGGCTACATCATGGCCACTCAGATCGGCCAGATCATGCGCGCTATGGAGCAGGAATTCGATGAGAAGGTGAGCCAGGAACATTGACATGCGGATCCCTCGTGGGTTTAGCAGGAGTGAGAACCAACATGATACATGAGAAAAGATGGGCTCATGTTGGGTGGAGTGTGTGCCTTTAGATCCGCTTTCCTCCGAATCGTTACAAGCACGCACACTGGCGCGGAATGAGCACCACATGCCAATCAGAGATAGGTTTTTCAGCCGAGAGGATGGCATAGGGTGAAACCCTCTTGGTTGGGATCTTCGGATAGATGCATTATCTGTTTCCGGTGCCAACACGCATATTGCGAAAAATATATGTAGCCAAGAATTTGACTTATGATTAGTGCTTACCCCGTAAGGGAGTGACCTTAGCCAATGACAGGGTAATCCTGTGGTAAATGGACGGGGTATCCAAGAATGCACAGACACCGTGTCATGTTAGAAAATGGTGCCTATGCGAATCTGTATGTGCATTTGCGGGCTACCCTATTTATAGCAAAAATATTCTAACTATTACTTGTAATAAAAATATCTTCGAAATGCTGTAAGGATGAAAAGTTCGCCTCATGAATGGTCAAACCACTAAATGGCAATAGAATGGTCCGCTGAGTTGTTGGGCTATCGCAATACCTTTTCGGATCCCATTTAGCTTTTGAGCAGCTTAATTGAATAAGCTTAGAGAGGTTAACACGATAAGCACCTGAAAATTCTGTACCCCTGAGATGGTCCCTACATCCCGCAAAATGACGGGTCATTTGACTGCTGGGTTTGATTGATGCCAGACTGGCAGCTGCTACAAGTATGTTTTTCTTTCAGACTCTCCGTAAGCTGATCCGCAAATTCGATGCTGACGGTTCCGGGAAGCTGGAATTTGATGAGTTTTGCGCGTTGGTCTACACTGTCGCTAACACCGTCGACAAGGACACTCTACAAAAGGAGCTGAGGGATGCGTTCCGGCTATTCGACAAGGAGGTTCGTGGAATTTTTTCTACCGGTCCAAACTTGAGAGCCGAATCCATAGCTGGGCTTAGGGAAAGCTCCCGTTCACTGATTTATAGCTTTTCAAAATTTCGGAAAGGGAAGAATTGCAAGCTCATAGAGATAGGGGCAACATTATGTTGAAGCACAGC